TATATATATATATATATATATATATATATATATATATATATATATATATATATATAGTATTTAACATCACGAGACACATTTTTTAACATCATATCATATTATGGTAAACCCATGACAAGGACGCCGTGCGATTGTATCGGCTGCGATGGCACGGACGTTTGTTTACTTAACTGTCTAGTAAATCCAGATGAACTTTCACATGCACTTGCTTCACTCATTTAGATACATATCAGGAGAGTCTTAATAAACAAGCTATTTGACATTCTTCTCTACTGTTTCCACAACATGAACCGCGCTATTTGATCCTCCTTCTCTATCTATTCTCAACAAGAACCGCGCCGAGCTTCTCTGTATGTGAAAATAGATAAGACAATAGTGGAATATATGCATCAATAGCGGCATACTGCCACAATATTGTGTACTACCAGCTAAGCCTGTCCATGACCTTTGCAATGACTTATAAGAGGAATCTTGTAACCTTAGTAAAGGCACTGAAAATGTACTACCGTGTTTAAGTATTGATTCAACCGCGAACGTAAAACACCGCAAAAATCTCCTTTCCTTTCCTAACGCGAAATTTATTCCCCGCAAACAAAAATGAATTTACAGTAGTCCATAAGATCAGAACTTGTTTAAACACCTTTCTCCATGTCCGTCCAGGTGAGCTGGGTAGAGCAGCAGGTGTGGAAAGAGAGAGTACCTAGATCAGGACGGGTAACTCTGAACGTGTGTCTCAACGATCCAGACTGGCCCAAACAGGAGTGGTACATGGTGAGTTTGTTTGTTTGTTTGTTTGTCTGTTTGTTTGTTTGTTTGTTTGTTTGTTTGTTTGTGGAAGGAGTCTCAGAGTACCTAGATCAGGCAGGGTAACTCTGAACGTGTGTCTCGATCCAGACTGGCCCAAACAGGAGTGGTACATGGTAAGTTTGTTTGTTTGTAATGTTTACCGAAGGAAAACATATTGTTTTTGCTCAGTTTCCTCCTCTTCTTGGCCTTGAATCTATGTGCATGTAGATTGTACTAGATTTGCCCAGTAGTGTTATATATTTCATCCTATACTGTACATTGTGTCATCTATCAAATAGCTTAGCTAGAAAATCTACATGTAGATTATACTAGATCAATGTAGCTAGGTGTCTTTGCCTTACATGGTTGTACAATGTACCTATTACAATTATTTTGTTATGCAAACAATAAACTTTGTCTTGAAGTATTATGCTTTACCTCCAAGGCAAAGGTTTAGTTTTATTTAGTCTCCACAGTTCGCCTCATAAGAGGCTAATTTTCTTCCTGTGGTCTACACATAGATGCAGACACACGCAGACCTCAACTTTTACTCAAATCTAATGCCTAGATTACATGATGTTTTTGTTGCCAGAACAACTGTGCAGGTTTGGACATGCATGTGACGGGTGCGTGGCTCAGAGGGTACCTGGGAGAGGGGGTTAATGTAGCCGTGGTGGACGATGGACTACAGACTGACCATCCCGACCTCAACTATGTACGTATGTTACAAACATTTTGTGAAAATATCATTGGTTGCAAATTAAAGTGTATACATGTATACATGTATACATGTCTCCTGTTTCTGCCTATGGTATACATACATGTACATGTAGGTCAATTTCTTTGTACAACTTCATACCAACAGCAAGATCAATCATTCATCTAGTATCTCTTCTACTTATACCTATCAGATTCTGCAGCTGTGTTCAGTCTTTCTGCATCCGTACATGATAGAAATGTAACTCAGATCCATGATACTGTTATCTAATAACGTTTTGTAGCTTATCTTGAAAGTTCATCTGTGTTGGTAGAAGTCATTATGCAGCAAGATTAATCTGTAATATCCAACACAAGAAATTGGACTCACCCAAATTTTCGAATGTACAACTCCAGTCTTTGTCAAGGAATGAGCAATCCACCACTTTCGTATTAAACGTCAAGCAGATAACACACGTGACTCCGTGAGCAGTGGGTCATAGGTTGCAGCTTGTAGTTTTGTAGCTTCTTTCAAGTTTTTCTTAAGACTGAATCCATGTAGTTCAGAATTGTCCCTTTTCCTCGTACAACTGTATGTTGTCAGGATGCGACCCTGAGTACAGATGTGGTGGATGGAGACAGGGACCCCTCACATCCTGCAGACTCTACTGGGTGAGAACTGTGTTCCTACCTAATATCCCATCCAATAGACCCATTCGACTTTCACGGATCGCATAAACTGCATACGTCACAGGGGGGACATTTCGAATAGAAACTACGTCACAGGGGGGACATTTCGAAAGTTCCTTTCATGGATCGCATAAACTGCATATGTCACAGAACAAAATAACCTTAAATTGTTGTACAGAATGCCACCATACAAAGTTGATGCCTGTTTTCCTGTCATTTCCGCACATATTACCGAGAAAATAGATACTTACCTACCTTTTAGTAAAAAATGATCTGCCAGGTTGGACACCGTGAGCGCAAGCCACGTTCGACTTCAGCGTTCTAGAACGACGTTCTTTCGAAATGTCCCCCCTGTGACGTAAGCAGTTTATGCGATCCGTGAGAGTCGAATGGGTCTATTGTTAGTAATAAATCCACAGACATGCATTGTACATCCTTACATACATGGTATAAAAAATCATGTATGGTAAAATGAGCACATCGGCAGAATGTACTGCACCTGCGTGAAACCCGTAATGTATTGTGCATAGCACAATGATTTGATTTTGCACATATGATTTTGAAATCATATCCAGTTGCTTGAGTATCTGTTTTTGGTGTTTTTTGGTCATATGTTATTACCTGGATGTCTAACCTTAACCAACATATTCTCCATCCCTGAACGTCTAATGTTATGTCTTATGTCTTGTGTTCCCTCCACAGACATGGTACGAAGGTAGCAGGAGTGGCCACAGCCATCGCTAACAACAGTCTGTGTGGGGTGGGCGTGGCACCACAGGCACGGGTGGGAGGTAAGGTTGCACATTCGTATTCTCTCCTCTATTCTCTTTATTTCGATGCCCTATAGCCCAACAGGCTCATCTTCCAGGGCTCGTTTAGCACAAAAGAAATTTACATTATGTACAAATACATTTGTATGTGGATTTGACAAACATGTACTACATTTTATACACTTGCAAGGAAAGTCACAGTATCTGTCCTTGGTACTGAAAATGTTTCTGTACTGCCAGTCATCACCCTAACCATACAATGTGACATATGGAAAAAGAGGCAGTACTGTAATAAGATGATGACTTAAGATTATGAGCATAAGCAGCTGTCTAGAAGACCTCCATGTACATGTAAATTGTGCTAGATTGATGTAATTAGCAGGCAGTCTCAAACAACACTTTGCCTTACGTTGCACCTGTTACCATCATTGTGTAGCAAACTTTGACTTATCCCAACAAATGATACCCAGTTTTCTAAAATCATATCCAGTTGCTTGAGTAACTGCTTTTTTTGGCAAGTCTTATTACCTGGATGTCTAACCTTCACCAACCAAACTTTGACCTTGACTAATGAAGCTGCTGTTCCACAGGTATCAGGTTACTGAACGCAGCCCTAACGAGCGATGTTAACGATGCTGTTCCACAGGTATCAGGTTACTGAACGCAGCCCTAACGAGCGATGTTAACGATGCTGTTCCACAGGTATCAGGTTACTGGACGCAGCCCTAACGAGCGACGTTAACGACGCCCAAGACGCGCAGGCGTACACCTTTTGGGCAGGACAGTGTGGACGTCTACGTCAGCTCCTGGGGACCGAACGACTTCGGCGAGGTGGACGGACCGGGAACGCCTGCTCAAACTGCTCTGAGGAACGGAGCAACAACTGTGAGTTATGAGATATGGTACACTTGCACATACAGTGCCATCTATCACCCTTTATATGTACAATTTCGGGTATTCATTAATTTCTTGTGTCAGCGTATCACGCCGCAGAAAAATGCAACAAATGCAGAAGTAACTGCGCCACCGCAGGGCAAAAAAAGTCAACAGTCAACATGTATAATTAAGACCTGATCAAATTCTTTGAAAGTATTGTGAAAAAAATGCCAGCAGGACAAGGGTCGATATTCAATTAAATTGTTACAATTCGCGGTTCTGGTCAGTCTCCATGAGAACAGAGATTTGCCCAATGCATGCACTCTTCTGAATATGAGTGGACTTTGCAAGACCAAGCTTCTGGCTAAATTCAAAGCAGGGTTTTGAAAGTACAGGTCTGTGAATATAACAAAACCTTCTTGTCCTTTCCCCAGGGAAGAGGAGGTAAGGGAAACGTGTACATTTTCTCCTCCGGGAACGGGGTTGGTGGGTTAGGGTGTATACATGTATGCTAGTGTTCAGTGTTCCATTGTTGCGTCCCCAGGGAAGAGGAGGTAAGGGGAACGTGTACATTTTCTCCTCCGGTAACGGGGTTGGGGGGTTAGGGTTAGGGTGTATACATGTATGCTAGTGTTCAGTGTTCCATTGTTGTTTCCCCAGGGAAGAGGAGGTAAGGGGAACGTGTACATTTTCTCCTCCAGTAACGGGGTTGGTGGGTTAGGGTTAGGGTGTATACATGTATGCTAGTGTTCAGTGTTCCATTGTTGTTCCCCCAGGGTAGAGGAGGTAAGGGGAACGTGTACATTTTCTCCTCCAGTAACGGGGTTGGGGGGTTAGGGTGTATACTGTACATGTATGCTAGTGTTCAGTGTTCCATTGTTCTTCCCCCAGGGTAGAGGAGGTAAGGGGAACGTGTACATTTTCTCCTCTGGTAACGGGGTTGGGGGGTTAGGGTTAGGGTGTATACATGTATGCTAGTGTTCAGTGTTCCATTGTTCTTCCCCCAGGGTAGAGGAGGTAAGGGGAACGTGTACATTTTCTCCTCCGGTAACGGGGTTGGTGGGTTAGGGTTAGGGTGTATACATGTATGCTAGTGTTCAGTGTTCCATTGTTGCGTCCCCAGGGTAGAGGAGGTAAGGGGAACGTGTACATTTTCTCCTCCGGGAACGGCGGCGGCGGCCAGTACCCAGACTCCTGTGCCTTCGACGGTTTCGTGAACAACCCCTACAGTCTGGCGTTCGGTTCCGTGTCTGGTACGGGAAGGAGGGCCGCCCACAGCGAGGCATGCAGCGCACTCATTGCCTGTGTGTACGCTGAGGACAGGAACAATCCTAACGGCAACAAAATGGTTTGTTTGTTTGTTTGTTTGTTTGTTTGTTTGTTTGTTACGGGAAGGAGGGCAGCCCACAGCGAAGCATGCAGCGCGCTCATAGCCTGTGTGTACACTGAGGACAGGAACAATCCTAGCGAAAACAAAATGGTTTGTTTGTTTGTTTGTTTGTTTGTTTGTTTGTACACAAGCCTCTAATAAGTAGCTGTCTGGCATGGGAAGTTAAAATGAAAAGTTTTTGTTTTATAATCTGATCTAAACTATTCTATTACATGATCAGAATGATGATGATAATGTTTGGTAATGTTTTGTTGTTGTTGTTGTCCTTGTTTAACGTATAATATCACAATAGGTGTTGGTTTGAGCATGGTTCAGTTCAGATTCAACTTGTCTCTCAAGGTATTTAACCCTTGGTGCTTTGATGTTTTGCCAGGTGACGACCAAGACCACCAGTGAGTGCACAGATGATTTTTTCCAGTCCTCAGCAGGAGCTCCCATAGCAGGCGGGATCCTGGCTCTGGCTCTTAATGCAAAGTACGTGGACAGGAGTTTAGAAAATATTAATCAACATACTTCGTCTAGGAGTTTATAGACTATATTAAGATACATGATTGTATTACACAATCACAAGTTCTGTGTATGATTCTTGCAGGGTTTAGGACCCCTAGCCTGGCTGTCAATGCAAAGTATGTGGACAGTCAGGTCTGGAGTACTTTATAAATAAAAAAATATACATACATTTTTTTTGGGACTCCAAACTCTACTTTAATTTTGTTATTAGCTTAGAGTGATCTGAAAGGGTTACTGACATATGTAATGAGGGAAAATATTGCACATACATGTACAATGTAATATCACAGTGTATCACCCTAACACTGCAGAGCAATTCAATCATTCAATACATGACTATACTATTAGTATATACAGTAATATAATAATATACACTATTCAAATAATTGGTTGTAATCCAGTCTTTTGTGTTGGCAATGCAACTACATGTAAAAGTCATTCATTCATTTGTTCAAATTATTGACCTGTTTGTCAGTGGTGCGTTGACCTGGCGTGACCTGAAGCACCTGATAGTCCAGACATCGCAGCCTGACGTCAGACTGACCAGCTCGGACGCTAACGACTGGACAACCAATGCTGCTGGACACAGAGGTCAGTCTCTATTGTACCCAGCACTATGCCTATCTAGTTCTATGACTGAATGGGTTAGGGTTAGGATCAGGCACGGTTCTGGGTAGTCTCTATTGTACCCAGAACTACATGTATGCCTATCTAGTTCTATGCCTGAATGGGTTAGGATCAGGCACAGTTCTGGATAGCCTCCGCATATCCAAGAACGTAAATATGCCCCATCATGATTATATTATTGCATCCAGATCTGTGTCTGTCTAGTTCTGTTATGGGTTGGGAATTAAGCACTGGGAATGGTTCTGGATAGTTTCCAGAGATCCAAGAAAAGTCTATGTAGATTTTCCCCAGTCACAGTTCTGGCTTATATAAGTGGATAGTCTCTATCTTATCCTGAACCGTGCCTATCTAGTTCTATGGGTATAAAAAATGGAGTTAAGTCTGCCATCTCTGATTGCCTTGTGTTCCATATCACACAGTGAGCAGTTATTTTGGGTTTGGACTGCTGGATGCCTCCAGGCTTGTAGACGCTGCCCGTACCTGGACCACTGTACCTGCCTTACAGACTTGTGAGATGGTCCACACACACACAGCACCCGGGTGAGATTCACTACTTCTTATTAGGTCACACCAATTAAATTTTTGGTTTCACCTCTTCGTTAACTTTCTCCTGCATTGAAAAAAGAATAAGATTTCACTTGTACCATTCATCAACCTCATAATGTTTATATTTCAGTACCAACATTTGAAGAAAATCCTAATGTATTTCTAGTTTATTAATTATGATTACAAATGTTAAAGATTTGATAATTGTTATGACCAGGTCCTATATGTGACCTATTTGGTATATATTTTGGACCCCACATTCTCTCCTGACACATGTATTCTGTATTCATGTAAGCTTTTGAGTTTCCTTAGTCCAATAAGAAAACGTATTTTAAGAAATATTTAGGTTTTATACATATCCAGATCAGTTCAGATGATTAGATGAAAAGTGTTGAATTGACTTAATGCTGATTTTTGTCTCCAACCTTTCCCAGGTTGCACATCCCCCAGACAGGCAACCTGACCTTGACCGTGGACTACAGTTCAAGGTCGTGTGCGGGGGTGAACATCAGGTTCCTGGAGGCAGCCGTGCTGACCTTGGACTACAACTTCTACCCTAGAGGTCACCTTGAGGCGACCTTGACCTCGCCTTTGGGTACAAGGTCACTCATGTTGAGGTCAGCTATCACACAAACTATACTGTCTAGCACTTCTAAGGAGAAGTATTAAATTTGAATGTATGAAACTATTCTATTGTATATCCTACAAGTATATATCTTGTGCATGTACAATTTCTCCTTTTACTTTGTGATGTGTAACCCACAAGGTGTAAACTGGTCATAATAGGTGTAAACACACAGCTGTGCAAGACCAGAGTGTAAGGTTTGAACCACTCATTGCAGTATGGATCCCTATATAGTATAACAGTGGTGGAATTATATCTCAGCTGTCTGTGTGAATGTCTACCACTACCATAGCATGTACATGTGTACGGCCATGCCATGCCACAGTGAATGGAATTGATGAAAAATAAATGCTTTTTTCCCAGACGGAGAGAAGTGGACATCATTCCCGGCCCCCCTGTGGTGGATCAGGACTTCATGAGTGTTCAGTTCTGGGGGGAAAACCCGACAGGGACATGGACGTTTCAACTCAGGAACTACTACCCTAGTACAGCAGGGAATGGTGAGTTTATCTATAACAAACAAACAAACCTGTGGGGACATTGACCTTTCAACTGAGGAACTTCTACTCTTAGTGTACCAGGGAATGGTACGTGTAGCTTTCTTGTACTATATATATACATTGGGAATTCAAAGATAAAATTTGTACTCCCATAGCCTTTCTCAGGTCATACACCAGTAGTTAGGTTTGAAATAATTCCATTTTAGATCTTCCATCATCTTTTGTGATTTACAGGTAATATGTACTTCTGTTCCAAACACTGACCTGGTAAACTTGAACCAGACTGTCACCATGGTAACTGGTGTTGGGTTACATAATGTTGTAATTTTATAGCAGGAGGGATTTAGACTCCTGTCACCATATATGTGAATGTGTTTGAGTAAGAATTAACAGTCAGTGAGAGCAGAACATGTGCGAAGGTAAACATTTTGCTACTAATTTAAGTTAATTTTGATTTTTTTTTTGTTTTCTAACAGTTGTAACGTCCATTTCAGGCACCCTGAACAAGTGGACCCTGACCTTATATGGCACAGAGACGGATCCGATGGGGGGGAACAGCCTGCCTGCTACACCTGGCACCACCTGTGTGTCGGACTGCTCCAACGCCAGCCTGGTACTCCCCACTCCTGCCGCTACACTCCTGTCATCTACACTGCTGGCTAGTACTGTGGTGGGGGCCGCTAGCGGGGGGAGTTCGCTAACGGGGGGGAACATGCTCGGGATTCTGGTGGCTTCTGTATACCTCATTCTGTAACTAGAAACTTTCTGTGTTTAGAGTTAAAACTTTAGATCCAACACGAAAAGTTTTCTCACCGAGAGCTTTCGACCAGTCACTCTGGTCTTCTTCAGTAAACTGACCCAGTGAGGCTTGTCACATGGCTTCCAAAAAAACACTAAAGCAACTGGATATTATTTTGGAAACAGTCAGACGTTATAGGTAGTGTCCACTAGCTTTCGTCAGTGACACCGGAGAGTTGGCTGAAAGCAGGTTTATAAGCAAGAACTATAATTGATTGAGTAGTTACTCTAAGTATGTTACTTGGATCCAAGAATTTTCACACAGAACGTCTCTTCTGAGACACAAAAACTGGAGAAACTGTGAAAAAATTTAGATCTTACCAAATTTATTATTGATATTTTTAAGTGTTTTTAGCCAACATTTTTCTGTCTTTGACAGAAAAAGAAGAAGAAGAAGAGAAATAAAAGGAAACAAAGAAGGAGGAACAGGAGAAGACAGAGGAAAAGGAGAACTCATAATCAAAATCTAAACATAGAGAATCTCAAATTTTAGAAGTACAGAGATCTGAAGCAGATACCATAATATTGTTTTCAAGCTGTTTTTAGCCAATATTATTCTGTCTTGACAGAAAAAGAACAAGATGGTGACAGAGATGAAGAGGAAAAGGAAGAAATTGTTGAAAGAGAGGAAAACTTTTAATTGGAAAATCTGTCAGCTTTACAGACTCCTGAATGAGATCCTGGGGGGAAGAGTACAGCCTGTTTCATACATGTGTTAGAATCACTGGGAAATATGCAATTTCTAAACACTTTATAGTTTATTACAAATATACTTTATATTTCATACATAAAACAGTGCCTTGTATCACCTGTGATAGAATCATTGGGAAAAGTGTCCTCACTTTCTAAATTATCACTTTGTATTAGGCCACTCCATAATAATTCAATTTTTTTTGTTATATACTTAGTATTTTAGGAAACTGCTAAACAGCAGAGTGAGTGAGTGAATGAGTGAGTGAGTGCCTTCCTTCTTAATATGTATTTGTCACCAAATAAATCCCACAGCAAAGTTTGTTTTTAATTGTTGCAAGAGAAAGTATACGGAGAGAACATTGTTGTCTGAAGTGAAATAGTAGACCTTGTGTAAGACTTTTAATGATATAGACGTACAACATGTAGGCTGTGCTTTAGTGTAGTATGGTTGTCATTTGCAGATATTTTGTTTGCATTGTCAAAGAGGAACATTAATATGAGATCAATTGGGAAAACAAAATTGCAAATTATCTGTTAAAAGAAAAACTTTATGTTTATCTATATGTAGATATCAAATTCAAAGCATTTATGATATGACAAAACAAACTACATGTATTAAGATACTTGTAGTAATTCTACCATGTACTAAGCATTTTTCTTTTCTCCTGTTATGAAATTTATTCAATTATCACAAAAAGATTCAAGCATGTAAAAAGCACAATCATTGTGTGAGTTATTCTGTATTCATGAAAAATGGAAAATATACATAAGAAATAAAATATTTCAAAACTTTAAGAATTATTTTAAAACTTTAAGTACAATATAGTTTTAAGAAAGAAATATGTATATTCAGTGAAAGTAATTGCAATGACAATCAGATCTGTATAAATATATGCCTATTGTTGATGCGGTGTGTTTAGATACGAAGTGTACTTAAACTTTGTAGAACGTTAGTATGTTATTAGAGGATGCGTTGACAATACGTTTTGTTGCAATAAAACACTACGAAAATATGTATGAACATTCAGTGTGACTAAATTATTTTCTCATTTTGTTGTATCCGTTGTTAAAAATTCTGATGCTTCACGTATAACCCTAACGGTTAGTTTATAATATGGGTAATAATAATAATATGGGTTTTACTTGAAACATTTCACAGCCTGAAGCAGCATTATTACATATACATGTCCTGTACATGGTAAGACAACTTGTGACACTTCAAATCTTATATAGTAAAGGTGTACGATAACAGTTCCGTTAAAAGCACTAATTAGAATTTGACATATAACGGCATGTACATGTAACAGGGTTGCAGTTTACTTATGATGTTACGTAAACAGTTCTGTACACTAAAGGTCGTCATTTCTCCCTCGTGTGAAAGTTTAGCCTGTAACATCTGGGGACCGAGAAGAGGCGAACGGCTGATATTTACACGTTCTTGGGTCACGGGGGGCCATATAGATATAGATTAATAACAAACGTAATAAAACCCGCTCAGACTTGTAATATGCACAATTAATGCGGTATCTACTAGATTACCAAGGCCACATTGTAGTTTGAGTACTCATTGCAGTATGTGATCGTATAGCAATCGTCAGAATTCTACAGGTACCAGGCCAAGGAGCTGAAAGATAACAGATACGCCAAAAACTGTTACTCATCAAGTCATTAATATTATACTGTACCATTGTATTAATATCATATTATAACATTGATGGTGCCATGACGGATAAAGTGGATTGGAGGGAGAGGGACCGGGAACCCCCGACCTGATGATGATGATGATCATTAAACATTTATATTATGTTTACCAACATATTTTTCGAAGGACACGCAAAGCGCTACCTTATCGCGGTATATACCGGAGTTATCCGTTAGCTACACACCGACCGAAGCACGCGGCGATAGCGGAGAGGTTGCCTCATAACAGCCAGCGAGAGGAATCAGATAACGCGCCCGGCGGAAGGCCCGTCTGCCAGCTGACGCGACCCGGGGCTTCTCATCATCAGTGTTGGACTGCTGGTGCGACGGAGCGGACAGAACTTCAGGTTCAGCTCACTCACACGGTAAGGCATAGAAATTTTCCTAAAGTGGGGTCGTATTGACAGAGCGTTCGGCTTGAAACCAAGAGGTACCGAGTTCGTATCCTTGCCATGCCACCGATCTTGAGCCCTTGGGAAAGGCACTTTACACGAAATTCCCCTAGGTGAAAATGAGTATGTCTGTCCATACGTTTGTTTGCGTTGGTGACGGCATGAGAATATGCTGACAAAACTTGAGTGTGTTCTCGCCATGTCTTGTAATAAATGTTGGAATAGTTTTCCTATTGAAAAGTCATACTCAGACTGCCATTGATAGGAAACACGTACTCTCGTATTCTGTTTTCAGAACAGCGCTCTCACAGATGTAAGATGGCGTTGGGAGAGAAACTCCTGGTTTTGGCAACCCTGCTGACTGCTGGGGCGAGGGCAGGTGAGTTAAAACATCATTTCTGGTCAACCAAAGCTCTATTGCCCAATTCAATGCTAACGAAACTTTCATTCCAACATTTTCATCAAATCTGAGTCTAATCAATAAGAATATGTATTCCTTGTTGCCTGTAAATGAGATTTTGAGAGATGTTTAGGATTGTAGATATACATGTACCTGCTGTGTAAATCCAAGTTTGCCTTGAATGCAATTCTTTGATGTGTAGGATATGTTTGATGTATAGGATATGATACCTATAATGCAAAACTGCACAAAACTGTTTAGCTATTAAGACCATCTGAGTAGCAATACTACAACGCTAAACAAATGACCAGGTCCTGCTCCAATGCTTGTAACGGAACAATATATTGACCTTTTGCACCACATGAGTGCCAGTAATACCGACAATAGATCTATACAGTCCATGTGTTGTAATTACTAATAGAAGATTGTATGATATATTATGTTTACCTTAATAGAAGATTGTATAACAACATGTTTACATTTAATACCACCTGAGTGCTGATAGATATTAATAATACCCATAATAAACCAGTCATGGTTTATGATAATCACAATGAGACCACCCGAATTCCAATAGTCAATAATAGCCATAATGGACCAAGCATGTATGATAATTGTCATAGAAGATTGTATGTCCATATCTTGTACTTTTCAGACCACCTGAGTGCTAAAAGTCAATAATGCCGATAATTGACCAGTTATGTGTTATGAAGTTTATCACAGAATATTATAATTATATCAAACATATTTGTATTTTTCAGACCACCTGAGTGACAATAGTCAATAATGCCGATAATTGACCTGTTATGTGTTATGAAGATTATCACAGAACATTCTATAATTATAATATTATTATCAATTATTTTGTATTTTTCAGACCACCTGAGTGACTTCTTCTTACGTCACCACCGCTCCATTTCCGGTCATAACGTGAAGACGTACTGCGGGGTGGACCCAGAATACTGTGCGCGCCACTGTAAGATCGACTCCGGCTACAACTGTCGGTCTTTCGACTATAACACCGGAAGCAGGTACGACGTCATTTCCGGCTTAGTGCCTCTACGTGTTATCATATCTAATGTTTACACTGTACACAATGTATGTGTGCTATAAGGTTTGTACTAATGGTTTTGGGAAGATATACGCATAGAAAGAATAAAATTTAATAACAACACACGTTCGTATATACATACAACTACACAAGGGTTGATTTTGAAATACATTATACTAATGAGCTATTTAGCTCACTGACGTTTTATTTTTTTTTGGTTTTCCCAGGGATAAATTCGATTTTTGTTACGATGTACAATACTTCACAGCCTTTCCAATCAAATGATTGGAAACCATTTTCGACTCTTGTATCTTAAGTTTTAACACAATAATCATTGTTTGTTCTATCAGGTGCTGCTATATGAATGACGAAAGTTCGGCGACGGCTCCAACAAACTACGTCAGAACTATCGGGACGGATTACTACGAGATAAAAGCAGGTAAGTGGGTATAGCACCCAGAAACGTGGATCTGAGGCACAGTTCTGGATAGCCTTTGGATATCCAAGAACGTTACTGAGGTTTGCCGCAGGCACGGTTCTTGATAAGCGTTGACTATCCAGAACAGTGTCTCTGGCTCTTTCATAGACGTAATGCCTGAATGGGGTAGGGTCAGGATCAGGCACGGTTTTGGATAGTTTCCGCGTATTCAAGAATGCAGATTTGCCCCAGGCACGGTTCTGGATACGCAATTGGACTAACCAAAACAGTGCCTGAGCATGGTTCCGCATAAAGCACAGATCTGGATACAACACTCCTTACTCCTATATTGTCTCTAGCAAACTTGTTTGAGATCCCTTATCACTTGACACATGGTCGTATCTTGTCGTGCTTAGGTCGTGCGCTGGACTTGTCACATTGTCGTATCTTGTCGTGCTTAGGTCGTGCGCTGGACCTGTACACGTTCACGGCCGACAGACGACTGCAGGGTGTGGCCAACATCATCAAGACAATTACTGTTACTTGTCACATTGTCGTATGTTGTCGTGCTTAGGTCGTGCGCTGGACTTGTACACGTTCAAGACAGACAGACAGACGACTGCAGGGTGTAGCCAACATCAGCAACACAATTACTGTTACTTGTCACATTGTCGTATCTTGTCGTGCTTAGGTCGTGCGCTGGACTTGTACACGTTCACGGCCGACAGACGACTGCAGGGCGTGGCGAACATCATCAAGTGCGGAATGAGAGCCGAGGACTGCGCGCAGTGGTGCATGAAGGAAAAGTCCTTCACCTGCATGTAAGCAGTGTCATTCGTTCGTTCGTTCATTCATTCATTCATTCATTCATTCATTCATTCATTCATTCATTCATTCATTCATTCATTCATTCATTCATTCATTCATCCATCCATTCATTCATCCATCCATCCATCCATCCATCCATCCATCCATCCATTCATTCATTCATTCATTCCTTTCCTTTTCCTTGCCCGCTTTCTCCTCCTCCTTCTCCTTTTCTTTCTTCCTCTTTTTGAAACAAAATACGGTCAATTCCCCCTTCACTTCCTGTTACTCGACTGTATCAAACAGGCATCACACAAATAGAGCCACCGAAAGAATACATAGAGGTAGAATAGAGGACAAATGCTATTGACGCTTGTACTTCAAAAGTTAAGGTTGTTTGACTACGAACACACAAGCCAAACAAAGCCATCGAAAGAAAACACACAGACCGGTAAAAAAAACGGCAAACGCTAATCTCGCTTGTCCTCCCTTTAGGTCGTTTGACTACGATAAAGAGTTTACGTGCTGCTACCTGAGCGAGGAGACACGTCACACCATGTCGGCAAACAACTTCGTCTCCTCGTCCTCTCATGACTACTACGAGTTCAGATCCGGTGAGTGAAGGTTTTTGCAACAATGTGAACACAGCAGCAATTTTAACCTGTGAAGTAATGGTGACAATGTGGTCTTATGATAAGGGTTGTTGTACATCTACAGACAATTCACAGTTGAAGGACCATCGGTGCACTCGCGCCTGATCATGACTCAGAAGTTTGACTCAAAATGCAGATGACTAGAACCGGCTATCAGAGACAGTAAAAAAATACTAAGTAGACACAAGACACTTCAATCAATCTCTCAAGTCTAAACTTAAAAAATTAAAAAAATTGGACAAAAATCCATTTCAATTAATCAATAATCCGCGGGCATCAGGTGCCGATGCATGGCGGCTACAGCCATGCACATGCAGGTGCCGCCAGGTGGCTCTGTTCTAGACATGCAGAGCCCCCCCCCCCAAGTCGGCAAATGTCTCCTTGAACGAAATAAAATAACCTGGCCAAACGTTTCTAGGAGCGGCGACCAGTTATTTTGAGCACGCGCCCGACCACAGTCTGGGCATTGATGACCTGATTCTTTGCGACATCGACACTTCTCTTTGGCTAATAGATTGTAGATGACCAGAAGCGAGTAATTATACTTCATTTCTCATTCTAAATTGCTTCATTTCAGGAGCGGCCACAGGTTACTTTGACGTCGCGCACGGCCACAGTCTGACCAACAATAACGACTTGATCCTGTGTGAGATCGAGCCTGAAGGCTGCGCGCTCAGATGTCTCCAGGAGACCGGCTTCCAATGCAAGTCTTTCGACTACGCCACATCCTGGAGGTATGTAGTACTACGTTCATCAACAAAGATTCACTATGCCATGTTGTATCCAGAACTATGTTGAGGCACGGTTCTGGATTGCCCAAGCGTATTCATGACCAGAACCGTGCCTGGGGCAAATTTACGTTCTTGGATACCCTTTGGAGACTATTCAGAACCGTGCCTGATCTAGAAGTATGCCCAAGCACGGCCCTAGATAGTTCAGGAGTATCCAGAACCGTGCATGGGGCTTTCATCTCCGTTCTTGGATACGTAAAGACTATGCAACAACCTGATCCTGTGCGACATCGAGCCTGAGGGCTGTGCGCTCAGGTGTCGGTAGGAACGTTCGTGAATATCCAAGAACGCGTGGACTATCCATGACCATGCCTGGTTCTGTGTAACCACAAGTCCTTCGACAACGCTACCGTATGTACGTCCATGCACATAGATTCGCGCCATGTTGTATCCACAGCTTTGCTCAGTCTTAGTTCTGGATAGTCTCCACATATCTAAGAACCTACATTTGCCCAAGGCGTGGTTCTAAGTACGCGTGGACTATCAAGAACCGTACCTAATTCCGTGTGAATACGACTACGCCACTTTGATAACGGAGGTAATAACGTTTCAAAAACCATAGTACGCGTGCAGCAAAACGTTTGCCATTGAATGTGAACTATTTCAAAGTGTGGATTGTGAAGTGTAATATCAAACGGCGTTTTCAGGTGTTGCTACCTCAGCGCGCAGGACAAGACCACCCAGTCGTCTAACTACCAGGTCACCGGAGGGCAGGACTACTACCAGTACTTACCAGGTAAAGGCGCTATGAATGCTGTATTCTTCCTGGTACTGAGCCTATGATATATCCTATGTTTCAAGAACAAGCAGAGAAACGACATGCAAAACCAGTTCATCTGCAGAAAAAAAAGGTCATTAATTCTTTTCTGGTACGAAAGTATTGTTTTGGGTGGCCGGCCTGTGGGTTTGTGTGTCTGTGTGTCCAGACAGGGAATGGGAAGATAATGGCAGGCAAAATGGCAGAAGGTGAAAGGGTCTTTGCATCCTATACTTAAACCCAGTATAGGACAGAATGTACAATAGATGCTTTCTATTCAGTGAGTATTTATACTAAGGTAAACTTTATCTGTTTTCCCCAGGGAACCGTTGGCGTGATGACGGTAGGTGCGGTTCGAGTTGGTCTGCTGACCTGGCGAGTCCTGCGGAGTGCGACCCGTACGGAGAGTACTGCTGCTCCGGGTCAAGGTGCCAACAGGGGACGTGTACAAGCGGGACGGACTACCGTAAGTGCTGGTGTGTGTGTGTGTGTGTGTGTGTGTGTGTGTGTGTGTGTGTGTGTGTGTGTGTGTGTGTGTGTGTGTGTGTGTGTGTGTGTGTGTGTGTGTGTGTGTGTGTGTGTGTGTGTGTGTGTGTGTGTGCGTGTGTGTTTGTGTGTGTGTGTGTATTTTCTATCCAAAGTTTTCTACTATTTTTGCTGTTCTACTGTAAGAACTAGTGAGCACGTAGGTGAAATATCCAAGCAGGTGTGCGACTTGTCTCGGTGTTTTACGCATGTTGTTTGTACAGGTGGTTGCGACAGGTGCGGAGAGAGGATTTGTAAAGTGAAAGTTGTTGTTGTTTACAGGTGGTTGGAACAGGTGTGGGGAGAGAGAGAGTTGAAAGTGAAAGTTATTGTTTACACAGGTGGGTGGGACAGGTGTGGGGAGAGAAGATGCAGCTAAAAGTGAAAGTGTTGTTGTTTGTACAGGTGGGTGGAGCAGGTGTGGAGAGAGGATGTGCAGCTGTAACACTCACACCAGAACCATGACCTGCTCCGGAAGGACCGTCCGAGAAATCGACTTCTTCATCCCCAGGAACACAAGGAACCTGTAAGAACGACCCTAGATTCTTACGTAATACCAAACCTGAAAGTCCCATATAGCGGATGCCCACTGAAACGCCTGCATCTTATGGTCTGAAATTTTGTCATTTTTCTCTATTGTATGTATTTGAAAGAAATGAAATTTCTTTATCATTTTACAGAGATCTGAGTGGCAACATGCTGACAAGTGTTTCAGTATCTGCCTTGGCCAGACTGACCGAACTCCAAACTCTGTGAGTACATGTAGCATATATTTACATACTCATACAACTATTTTCTTCAATGTTGAGGCGTCAATTTTAGCAGAGTGAAATAAAAAAATTGTTCTTTTGTGCAGGAACCTGCGAGCCAACAGGATCTCTTCCCTGCCGTTTGACGTGTTTGAGGACTTGTCCAGCGTCCAGACCATGTAAGTCAGCTGCCTGGTAGTCTATATGATTGTAAAATTGTATCGCAATTGTTGCAAGTATGACTAGAAATCTATCTGCCACATTGTTCCCCCCATAACTTAAACCAAGGTCTTTTGCAACCACTCTTCTTTCTATGTAACATAACTGTAGGCAAATTGTAAAGTCTGTGACGATAAGAATGTAAAAGTTCGTTTACACACTGAATGTGTTACAGAAACCTTCAGAGTAATCAGTTCAACGAACTTGACCTGGGACAGTTCATGGATCTGCCTGCTCTTCGCAACCTGTGAGTAAAACCGTCAATTATCTTATAACTGCCAAATTATGTAGTATTGTATCCAGAAGCAGTCTTTATCCAGAACCATGTAAAGGCACTGTTCTTAAGATAGTCCACACATATCCAGAATCATGCCTGGACCGAATCTACGTTCCAGGATACACAGAGAGTATCCAGAACCGTGCCCAATCCTAATCCTAAACCATTCTAAACCTAAGCGATAGAATTAGATCAGCCGAAGGTACCTCCCCAAAATACAAACCAGTCAATCAGCGCTGCCCAAAACAACCATAGACTGACTGTATCCTTCTGTTTAGTTACGTGGACACCGGCACAAACCTAAAGTTCAGCTTCGGGTACCTCCCCCAAAAAACAAACCTCCAAAGTCATCGCTAGTGCCGTCCATAGCAATACTTTTGTCCCAGAAGTGAGAAACATCAGACTGACTATGCAAGTTTTCTATATTTCTGTGTTAGATACATGGGCTTTGGCACGAACCTGAAGTTCAGCTGGGGGTACCTCAAAATCAGTGCCGCCCAAAACAATACTTCCGTCACAAAAGTAATAAGCATAGGCACTGGCTCGTGTGGATTTGTACCTGAATCCTAATAAAGTACTTAATCGCAATTTTGTATATTCTTCTGTTTAGATACATGGACTCGGGCACGAACCTGAAGTTCAGCTGGGGATACCTGCCGGAGGTGTACCCGAACCACGGCGTGTCCTGTCCGTTTAACGACTGCTACAGCCCTTGTGGGGATCCTCACTACCTCAACGGGCCGCAGGACTGGAGCCGCCTGCAAACTGGTAACTACTACTACTACTTAACTACTACTGCTACTACATTTGTACTACTACTGCTGCTACTGCTGCTACTGCTGATACTAAAGTCCGTGTGGCGACCCGCACTACCTCAACGGCCCGCAGGACTGGAGTAGACTACAGACAGGTAACTACTACTACTACTACTACTACTACTACTACTGCTACTACTACTGTAACAGTCCTTGTGGAGACCCGCACTACCTCAACGGGCCACAGGACTGGAGCAGGCTGCAGACAGGTAACGTTTCTTAGTAATACATTTCGATTACTGCTACTGCTGCTACTACTACTAATACTGCTAGTAGTAGTAGTAGCAGCAGCAGTAGCAGTAATCGTAACCCTACTACCGTACTACTTTAATATACTGTCACTTACTCCACTATACTGCTGCTACTGCTTCTGCTGTCAAATTTAGATGGGTAGATAGCTACATAGATAGGTGGTTAACGTTAGATAGATAGATTGCAGATACATACATGTGTATACATGTAATTCAAGGAGTCCTCTGTTTAGAAATTATACCCATTTCTTTGCAGATCTGGTTATCAAGAAGCTGTACTTTGATCTGGCCGACCTGTTCTACCTGGTGAGTGACGTCACACGGAGCGTCACCATCTATGCCCACACTGTGGTGGCGTCTGTAGGCGTCAGGTACGGAAAAAAATTCATATTATCACTTCAAAATGTTGATCAGTCCCTCCAACTTGCTACATAAATGTAACCCAATACCATAGGGTGTCTGCTAAAGTATCAGGTACCATGGTGACAGACGTCTGGTTCAGGTCACTGACCTTATTTCTCTGGAGAAGAAGAAGAAACTGAGTAAAAACAATTTGTTTTCCTTCTGCGAAGGTAAAGTAACATACAGTAGTACTTGGCCTATGAGCCCGCAGTAAGGGTAACATTTTCGTTTAGAATACCGACTATCTTACAAATTAACCAACAAAACATAACTTTCTTGGCAAAGGTGATAAGTCTCAAGCAAAACATTGACTTATAGACACCTGTTTCTCTCTTCTCCTTGTTTGTCTACAGACACAATGATACCATACCATGGCACAGCCTGTAGCCGTTTATATCTGTATCTACAGCCATTTACATACAAGATATTGACTAATATGTACATTTTGCTGTGCTTTCCAGTTTCGACTTTGACCTGACCATCCACACGCAGATGTTCTGGACCAACACAGACGCCGACCTGACCTTCAAATTACCCAGCGGGCACCACACCGGTCCCATGATCACTTGCGGCGACCTGGACGACAGTTTCAGACAGATCAACATCAACGTCGGCAACAAGCTGAAGGTACAAAATTGTTTATTTTTTGTTTATTCTTGAATGTTTGCTCTGTACTGTCTATATGCTATTGATGTACTGTTTTATTGAATGGCACCATGAAATGTTTTCAAAATTGGTCTTTTTTTAATATGGGCAAAACTGTCACAAACGCAACAATTTGTCCTTAGGGATATCTATAACCATACACAAAGGAAAATAGCTTACCAACAAGCAGTCTGTAGCGGCCCCCGTCTCAGTTGACCTAAAGTTTTTAAATTTCCATAATGTTAATTACCATCACAGATGAGCTTTCGTTCGGACTCTGTCCTCCTTTCTGCTGACCAAAATCGTGAAAAACGAGTCGTTCTCAATACAACGTCTTCAAATATGGCCCTGACAGTCTGCTCTTCTCTCTGCAGATTAACATCATTCGAAATTTATGCTCGACTCCGGCGATCAGCAAATGAACCGAAGCTTGATCTGTGTAACACCAGCTTAACAAACATGAACTATCGTATCCAGAACTGTGCCTATCTAGTTCCATACCTGAATAGATCAGGCACTGGATACGCATGGACTATCCAGAACCGTGTCTGAGCAATGGTCTGGATAAAAGACAGTTCTGGATTCAACAGTGACGTTGTTTTCATGTCTTCTCTATGCAGATCAACATCGTGACGAACGAGTCGTTCGCGATGCCGTACCCGTGCAGCGACAGGCGCAGTACCGCCCTCGCCCTCCAGGCCGACTCCGACCAGATGGCCATCACTGTGCAGTGTGCGCGTCTGCTGGCTCAGGTATATGTACTGGCAACTTACTGTCGACTTAATGTCTGGCCCAGGTATTTTCAACTTACTGTCGCTTTACTGTCATATAACTGTCAAGTTACTCCCATGGACGTCCCTAGCTGAAGCTAGATACTAATGAGTCGAGTGACAAAAGAGTTCTCAGACTCATTCTCAGTCACCGATGAAAGATAGCGGATGCTGTATGAGACATCTGACCTAGGTGTGCACAATTGAAGACCAAGACCCATGTTGCATGTAGCAACTGATCCCAAAAGATAAACGACGGCTGCACCTAGGTCAACACAGGAGGCTACAATTAAACCTCTGTCGTTCCAGGACTTTAACCTGGGCGACCTGCGTCTGTCTTCTGTGGCAAGACCAGCAGAAGAGTAGCTCTCCAGTAAGCTACTGGTTTGAGATTATCAATTTCACTTTTTACCGTTCCAGGACTTCAACCTGGGAGACCTGCGTCTGTCTTCTCTGTCATGACCAGTGGAAGAGTAGCTCAACGATAACCTAGTGGTCTGAGATACCTTAAGTTTTAATTTTGCCTTTCTACCGTTCCAGGACTTTAACCTTGGCGACCCGCGCCTGTGTCATAACCAGCAGAAGAGTGTAGCTCTCCAGAAAGCTACTGGTTAGAGATTTTTTTTCAATTTTGCTCTCCTACCGTTGCAGGACTTTAACCTGGGCGACCTGCGGAGCCAGCCGATGCGGATGGTGGACTGGGTGATCTCCCAGGGCCGGGCAGCGGGGGACCCGGTACAGAGCGAGGCCGTAACAATCAAATACGAGCTCATGGTGTCGGCTAGAGGCGCCCGTTATGTGCCGTACCTGTCTAAATCTGTCTATGTGATGATGCTGGACGACTATTATAGGGAGGTACGTGTTTGTTTGTTTGTTTGTTTGTTTGTTTGTTTGTTTGTGTGTTTGTTTGAGACCCGGTACACAGCGAGGCGGTCACAATCAAATACGAGCTCATGGTGTCCGCTAGAGGCGCCCGTTACGTCCCGTACCTGTCTAAATCCGTCTATGTCATGATGTTAGACGACTACTACAGGGAGGTACATGTTTGCTTGTTTGTTTGTTTGTTTGTTTGTTTGTTTGTTTGAGACCCGAAAGACAGCGAGGCGGTCACCATCAAGTACGAGCTCATGGTGTCGGCTAGAGGCGTCCGTTACGTCCCGTACCTGTCTAAATCCGTGTATGTCATGATGTTAGACGACTACTACAGGGAGGTACGTGTTTGTTTGTTTGTTTGTTTGTTTGAGACCCGGTACACAGCGAGGCGGTCACCATCAAGTACGAGCTCATGGTGTCGGCTAGAGGCGCCCGTTATGTCCCGTACCTGTCTAAATCCGTGTATGTCATGATGTTGGACGACTACTACAGGGGGGTACGTGATTGTTTGTTTGTTTGTTTGTTTGTTTGTTTATTTGTTTGAGACCCGGTACACAGCGAGGCCGTCACCATTAAGTACGAGCTCATGGTGTCCGCCAGGGGCGCCCGTTATGTCCCGTACCTGTCTAAATCCGTGTATGTCATGATGTTGGACGACTACTACAGGGGGGTACGTGATTGTTTGTTTGTTTGTTTGTTTGTCTGTTTGTTTGTTTGAGACCCGGTACACAGCGAGGCCGTTACAATCAAATACGAGCTCATGGTGTCCGCCAGGGGTGCCCGTTATGTCCCGTACCTGTCTAAATCCGTGTATGTCATGATGCTGGACGACTACTACAGGGAGGTACGTGTTTGTTTGTTTGTTTGTTTGTTTGTTTGAGACCTGGTACACAGCGAGGCCGTGACAATAAAGTACGAGCTCATGGTGTCGGCTAGAGGCGCCCGTTATGTCCCGTACCTGTCTAAATCCGTCTATGTCATGATGCTGGACGACTACTACAGGGAGGTACGTGTTTGTTTGTTTGTTTGTTTGTTTGTTTATTTGTTTGAGACCCGGTACACAGCGAGGCGGTTACAATCAAATACGAGCTCATGGTGTACGCTAGAGGCGCCCTTGTTTGTGTGTGTGTCGCCAGGGCTGCGGGTACGTGTTTGTTTGTTTGTTTGTTTGTTTGTTTGTTTGCATCAGCCAGACATACATTCTATTCTAGCTCAAGTTCACTTCACTGATTGAATCCAATCAGAATACGACTTTTCCAACTTTACAGTGGGCTTGCGTGGACGACTTTTAAAGACTGGAAGGCAACCTCCTCGGCCAACTCCATACCACATATGGCCTTATTTACGACTAACTCTCAACCAATATTTAAAATGAACGATTATTATGCTTATTGAAAACGTATGCCTGAGGGCTAATTGCAAACACAAAAGGAACATTAGATCTACGTACAAGCAAGTGATACATAAGAAGACACAAGAAATAAAAACTACTGTAACTCCTAGATATACAATGTGCTCTTCTCCAGGCCAACGTGTTCCGAGACGAATACAACCGGGCCCTGGACCGCACGGAGTCGGTTGACATTCGTCTGGAGGCCGCTAGGCGGCTCCTGGCCAAGCAGAACGACATCATCCAGCTGCAGGAGCACGACCTGCAGGACATGGAGACCGAGCTCAACGTCGCCAAGGAAACCAGAAGGCAGATGAAGGCCAGGTAACGTGGGATTGTCGGAAGAGCATTGTACGAGTGTCGTATGAGCATTGTACGAGTGTCGTATGAGCATTGTACGAGTGTCGTATGAGCATTGTACGAGTTTCGTATCAGCATTGTACGAGTTTCGTATCAGCATTGTACGAGTTTCGTATCAGCATTGTACGTCGCCAATGAGACCAGGCGCCAGATGAAGGCCAGGTAACGTAAGGACACTATTCCGCAAAATAACAACACAGTCAGTTACTCAAGCAACTGGATATGATTTGGGAAACGGTCAGACGTTTCAGGTTCAGGTAGCTTCCACAACCTTTCATCAGTGACACTGGAGACTTGTCAGAAAGACCCTATTGTACCTAGAACCGTGCCTAGAAATCTACGTGTAGTTCTATGCCTGACTGGTAGGGTTAGGAACAGGTACAGTTCTGGATAGTCTTCATGTATCCATCCATGCCTATCTAGTTCTATGCCTGCATGGGTTAGGGTTAGAATCAGGAACGGTTCTGAAAAGTCGGCGTATTCAACGTACATTTGCCCCAGGCACGGTTCTGGATATCCGGATACGCATGGACTGTCCAGAACCGTACCTGGTGGTAAATCACAGTTCATCATCATAAAACACCAGGTGAGGGTCTGGTCACATGCATCGTACAATTGCCGTACGATTGCAAACCAAAGACATTCTTGGGATATAGTCGTTTATGGGTCCTGCAGAATTCAGCTGTCTTTTAGACACCACCCTACTCACTGGTCCATGGTTAAAAGCTTAGCTAAGAGGATTGGGGGACCCAGAAAAGACCATTTATGTAGTTATGTACAGTTCACCTTCTAGCCCATCTTCAAACGTCTAACCCATTCTCCGTGCGTTCAGACTGGACGAGTCCAACACGGAGCTGGACCAGGCTAAGATCGACTTTGAGCGCGGCATAGAGCAGTATCAGGAGCAGCAGGCAGCTCAGGCGGCGTTTGGTTTCATCGGAGCCGTGTTCGGGATATTCATCGGAGTGATACAGGTAAGTGACTTCAACAAATATTCAAACTATCATGAAAGTTCATCTGTGTTGGTAGTTACATGTTTAAAGTTTGGTCCAGTGTTGACGTCACACTTCAAAGAAGCCACGTGACAATCCTCACTGGGTCAGTCTACTGAGGAAGACCAGAGTGACTGGTCGAAAGCTCTAGGTGAGAGAACTTTGATACCATAACGGACTTCACCATCCTCATCAAAGTTGGATGCCTGGATTTGCCTGGGCAGCCTCGGTTCTGGATACGCATGGACTGCCCAAGCATTGTTATGGATAGTTCTAGGTAAAACAGGATGTAACTAACGCACTGTTTCCCACAGATCGGCCTGGGTGATGTAGCCGGCGGAGTGAATTCTATCGTGGGCAGCACCATCGACATCGCGGACACCATCACAGCCGTGACACTATGTCTCTGGATACACATGTATTAAGCATGATTGTGAACGCTAACTAGGAGGTAACTAACACTGTATCACTGCTTCCCACAGATCGGCCTGGGTGATGTAGCCGGCGGAGTGAGTTCCATCGCGGACCTCACCATGTACCATCCTCATTGAGGACCTTCTCACAAGTCATCACAAGTACTTATAACTATAACACACTGTGTCTCACACCCCACAGATCGGCCTGGGTGACGTAGCGGGCGGGGTGAGCTCCATCGTGGGGAGCACCATCGACATTGCGGACACCATCACAGACCTCACCATCCTCATCCGGGACCTGGAGGAGTACAATAGCATAGCAGACGACGCGTTGGAGAGCGCCGCTAGCGCAACTTCTGGGGTAACTATTAACTTTCATTGTCACCATGGTAACTAGGAATAACATATGGAATCATAAAACTCGCAATCCACTCAGACATATCCTCCACAAGTCACTACTGGGATCACTATATTGGCCTAGTCTACCGGTGATTTTTTATTGTTTGTCTTCTATGGGCCAATTGCGCTTGAAATAAAGAATAAAGAAAGACTAGTCTTGTGGTGTTGGGTCATATGGTAACATTATGTAACAAGTAGCAGGACAGCCTCACCCTGGATCCGGAGAAGTACAACAGCATAGCGCAACTTCTGGGGTAACTATTTACTTTCATAATCACTGTCACCATGGTAACTAGTCCTGTACTGCTGGGTTATATGGGAACATTATGTAGCAAGTGGCAGGGCATCTTCATCCAAGACCTGAAGGAGTACAGCAGCATCGCGGATGACGCACCTGAGAGCGCCGCTAGTGCCACTTCTGGGTTAGTTCTGCACTTTTATTTATAATCACTAAGGACACGGTTACATATGTTGTAAGATGGCAAACAGAAGGCATTGTTGGTTCAGTTGTGCATGTTTTGTGGAAATGAACTGTTTAGTTACGGAAAAGATTGTCACAGATGAAGTTGTTCCTGTCCTTGGTACTGAAGTTGTTCCTGTCCTTGGTACTGAAGTTGTTCCTGTCCTTGGTACTGAAGTTGTTCCTGTCCTTGGTACTAAAGTTGGCCCTGTCCTTGGTACTGTAGTTGTTTCTGTCCTTGGTACTGATGTTTGTCCTGTCCTTGGTGAGTGCTGAAGTGAATTTGAACGTTTTGACTTTTCTTTCCCCCAGAACGACTACGAAGGTTACATCCTGACTATGGAGAAGGCTGTAGAGCTCCACATTAAGGTTGTGGAGTGGGACAACCTGCAGAACGTGGCGGGCGCACTGCTGGGTCACGGGGAGGTCACCAAGATCAGCGGGTCACGTGAGTACCGCAGGATCATGTCGGAGACCGCCAACTGGGGCAAGGCGCTCACCGAGACCACCATCGCAGAGGCTGAACTTCGCGTGCAGTACGAAAGGTGGCGCTTTTGTACAAGTTGTGAACAAAATTCGTACTTACACCATATAGTTTATAAGTTGGCGCCCATCTCTTCTGCTGTAACCCTTAAGCTGTACTTCACGTGCAGTACAGAAGGTGGCTAAATGTCCAAGGTCCACATGGCATCTGACCTGTGGTGCTTCAGTTAAAGTTTTGAAAAAAAATGACTTTAGCAGCAGAGAAGCGAGAGAAGGAGCAGATAGAAGCTTAGATCAGTCTGTTGAAGCATCATCACTAGAAAGCTTTAAACAACTCCAGCTTTAAAGATTTTGTAACAGGTCGTTCGGTGTAATATAGCCAGCTGCCGCCGCGCCACGTGACTGCGAAGCTGGTGTGTTACACTTATAAAAATGTGGTTAATATGCAGCTGTACCGTTAAAGATACTTTGAAATCCAGTTCAGTTTTGCCTCTAAGAAAACATCTCCTGTACTTCCCAGCCGTAAGAGGTGGCTGGCAGCAGAGAAGCGAGAAAAGGAGCGGATAGAAGCGCAGATCGGTCTGGACGAGAGCCGGCGGGAGGTCAGCCTGGAGCTCACGTCAGCCATCGGACTCACCGCATTCCATGTAGGTACTAGTGTTCTGTTACATCTGTGGACAGAAACAATAAGCCCGAATCTCACCGGAGCTGTTGTACCAAGAACTGTGCTTTATTCAGAACTATTATAACCCAAACAGCCATTGAACTCACCGTCTTCCATGTACTACATTTTCGTACGTTATCTGTCATTTCTTACCTAATGTTTGGGGCACGATTACAAGCCTTGTCAAATCTGTAGACACAAACTAACCAGTTTGGCACCCAAGCCTGAACCTTACTTACTTTATCCAAAACATGCAGTGCGTTCTAACAAGCAAGGACTATGCTCGGGCACGGTTCTGGATAGCCCACGTGTATCCAGAACCGTGTCTTCCATGTGCGTATTCTGAAAAAAAATCACCACATAGCAGGAACATCCTCGTCTGATGATCCTGCAAATTCGTCTTCGGCATCAGTAAAGTTGGTGTTCTCTCAATCACTGTGATTTTTTGGGTTTCGACCCCATGTTAAACGACCCTATCCTATGTATGAAAAACATGTTAAATCCTGTTAAAAAGATGATAATGATATTCTTCAGTCACTCTTATGAGTCTGTGCGAGGGTAGTTTGTGCAATTCATGATTGCCACCGACAGCACACTTGAAACATTTGCCCAGATGAAACCCTAGCTTACATTGGGCAACATGTCACGATGTTTTTATTGTTCTACCACTGCAGGTGAAACTGGAGCTGAACAACATCCTGCTGGACTACTGCAACTCCTACTTCTACTTCCAGTTCCAGGAGTGCGGCGCGACGTACAAACCCAATCTGGGAGACGATCTGGTTACTCTACTGGATAAGGTAGGGAAAATAGATCCTACTATACATAGCAGGATAGCCCTAACCCTAACTCCCAGGAGTGCGGCGCGACGTACAAACCCAACCTGGGCGACGATCTGGTCACTCTACTGGATAAGGTAGGGAAAATAGAATATGATCCTACCAGCAGTATAACCCTAAGGAAGAGGTGGAGTGTAAAAAAAGGGATTAATGTATGCTAGCAAACTAGAGAAGTAACATTTGCAAAGCAAATGCACAATGTTTACCTTCGGACATGGTCTGCTCTGTTAATTCTTACTCAAACACATTCACATACATGTACTACTAGTATATGGTGACAGGAGCAGAGCAGACCATGAAATTGCAACATTATGTAACCCAACACCAGTCACCATGGTGACAGACGTCAACAAATCATGTCATTGGCCAGGTCAAAGGTTAGTGTTTGGAACGGAAGAGGAGGAAGAAACTTAGCAAAAACAATATGTTTTTCTTCGGTAAACATAAACATAAACATATCATGTACATGTGTCGTAGAGGTAAGAGTATTGCTAACTTGAATCTTGAATATTCCGGTATGATTCCTAATCATAACACTACACCATTTATCAGATACAAGAGCCATTTTCTTTCCTTCCCAGGTGAGTAACGCGGCGCAGGACGGTCTGCAGAACCTGGCCAGCTTCAACCCGCCTCCTCAGCCATTCAACAACCTCAACATCCGCATCACGGACTCGGTACGTCCTTACGGTGTTTCCTCATTCACTCACTCACTCACTCCTCCTCAGCCATTCAACAACCTCAACATCCGCATCACGGACTCGGTACGTCCTTACACTCACTCACTCATTCACTCACTCACTCACTCCTCCTCAGCCCTTCAACAACCTCAACATCCGCATCACGGACTCGGTACGTCCTTACACTCACTCACTCATTCACTCACTCACTCACTCCTCCTCAGCCCTTCAACAACCTCAACATCCGCATCACGGACTCGGTAGGTTCATCTCGTGTTTCTTCACTCACTCACTCACTCACTCACTCACTCACTCACTCACTCACTCACTCACTCACTCCTCCTCAGCCCTTCAACAACCTCAACATCCGCATCACGGACTCGGTACGTCCTCCTTCTCATGTTTCCTCATTCATTCATTTACTCACTCACGCCTCCTCAGCCCTTCAACAACCTCAACATCCGCATCACGGACTCGGTACGTCCTTACGGTGTTTCCTCATTCATTCACTCACTCACTCACTCACTCATTCATTCACTCATCCATTCATTCACTCACTCACTAACTCACTCACTCCTCCTCAGCCCTTCAACAACCTCAACATCCGCATCACGGACTCGGTACGTCCTTACAGTGTTTCCTCATTCACTCACTCACTCACTCACTCCTCCTCAGCCCTTCAACAACCTCAACATCCGCATCTTGGACTCGGTACGTCCTTACGGTGTTTCCTATTTCATTCATTCATTCATTTATTCATTCATTTATTCATTCATTCATTCATTCATTCATCCATCCGTTCATTCACTCACGCACTAACTCACTCATTCATTCACTCATCCATTCATTCACTCACTCACTCACTCACTCACTCACTCACTCACTCATTCATTCACTCCTCGGCCCCTCAACAACCTGAACATCCGCATTTCTGACTCGGTACGTCCTTAAAGCGTTTCCTGATGAATGATTGAATAACTTAATGAGGTAAAGAATGAATGGTTCATTTATTATGGCAGGAATCCAAGGCTAGGCTGCATGTAAAAGCTGAAATCTTTGAAGAACGTTCATTGAATTCCTGTATTGGACTAATAAAGGTGGGCTCCTTAGGAATGAGGTACATAGGAATTAATGAATGATGGAAGAAGAAAGACTGAATGAGTGATTGAATGAATGATTCAATAGGACAATGGTACATCCAGTTAGGTTCTTGCACCCTCTCAACCTGCAAGACTTATCTGTCTGAGGCCCGTTGTTAGTATGCCAAACTAATTTTTTTAGAGCCTACATGTAGATATTACCCGGAGGTTTGAAATCTCAGCTTTCTCATTGTCTGATGATATGGACCATACCCCCAGCCGACAGCATGTGTGAACGCCACGGAGTGCCCGATCGCCACCCTGAAGGACAATAAGATCCTGCACGTCGAGATCCGCCACGATCACCCAAACTTCCTCAGCTGGGATCGCGTCAGGATCGAGAAGATCCGGATCTTCCTCATCGGTATGTGGATCGCATCATATTTTTGTGCGGAAGGAAATCACATTGTTTTGGCCATGTTTCTTCTTTTTCTTCTTCTCCCTCTTCTAAAACTCCAAACAATAAGCTTAAGGTCAATGCCCTTGACCGGAAGTCTGTCACTATGGTAGCTGGTGCTGTAGCAGGCACCCTGTGGACACTCCACTGCAGTACCAAGCAAGGCCACCAGGGGACACGAACTCTACTGCAGTACCAAGCATGCATCTCTTAATGTTTAGAGGACTTAAAAGTACAGACCAAAATCATATCAACGCCTTATATTTCTAACCCAGATACTCTTTTTGTCATGAGCCTGCATTTGTTAAAGATACAAAAAGAGGATGTTTTACTGCAGTACTAAACAAGATCACTAGGGGGAATAATATATAGACATAAAAAATCTGGCACCAAAGTAATAGCAAGGACAACACTAAATGGGACACCTGAAGAGACAGAAAACAAGGACGGCCAAAGATCGCTCGGTGAAAAACACTAAAGAGCTTCAGCCACACCTGAGATACCGTCCAGAGAGTATCCCAGGACAGAGGGAACTGGAGAACCTTTGTTGCTGCCCTATATGCCGGGACTGGCATTAAGGGCAGTAAGTAAGTAAGTAAAGTCATAACAATGTCCTTTTTGTTTACCCAGGCGCGACCCTCCCGAGTAACCGGATGCGAGTGTCCATCTCCACATCTGGAGAGTTTTTCGACCGTTACCGCTCCCTGGAGCAGGACTTTGTGGGCGTGCCCCTGCGCCGCGGGTTCGAGTACAACCCTTCCGGCAGTCAGTAGTCTCTGTTGTTTTTCATTCTTGAGATGACGCCCCTTTTGAAATCATTTAATACAACAAATAATCAATCACGCCAAAAACTGTTACTCAGCAGGATACTGGATATGATTTTGGAAACGGTCAGACGTTTCAGTTCTGATTCAGGAGATGATTAGCCTTTTGAAATCATTTCATACTTATCACAAGCAACTCTATAACTGTTGAACGCTATGCTGCCCCTACGGCTATCGTGGGTGGGTGGATGGATGGATGGATGGATGGAAGGAAGGAAGGAAGGAAGGAAGGATGGATGGATGTACGGATGGATGGATGGATGGATGGATGGATGAGGCTTTGATGATGTAAAGCATATATGGCAAATCAGCTTAGGTTTGTGCATCACATATCACATCTAAGACTGCCGTATATCTGGGCAAACAGACGCAAACCCACATCCCAACCACCCAGAACAATACTCCCATACCCACCAGTAACTGACCACATCTTTGTATGTTCCCATGCAGACGGCGTGATCGTGGACGGGAACATCCATGACGATTTCCATGGTTACTACTCCCTGACCACGCCCTTCACCACCTGGGTGATTGACGTCTCCACGGACCTGAACTCTGGCCTGGACCTGAGCAGCCTCAGCCGCGTGGAGATGCACCTCTGGGGCAGCCTGGTCAGTTTGCTGTTGTTCTTGTTGTTGTAATGTCCTTGTTTTCTAGGAATGAGCTGGTTTCTTGCTGTTTTGTTTTGCGCAGTTGGTCACAGTATTTTGAGACTGTCAGAAAGAGAGAGTGAGAGACAGAGAGAGAAAGATAGAATGTTTTTGTAATATCTCGCTAGACATGGTTTCTTGGTACTGATTTATTGTTTATTATCTCCATTTAGTTTGTACAGAATATCTACACATACTAATCTTCCTGTCTGTGTAACCTTCCTGTACTAATCTACGTGTGTTACACGTAAGACACTAAACCCAACTACACATTTATCCATATACAACTATACAAGCTAAACGTAACTTAACTACAACGTGGAAAGACTACAAGTTGTGCTGAGTTTACGCTTGGTTCAGTTCAGAGTCAATAGTCTCTCTTGGTATTTAACACTTGGTGCCTTGTGCTTGTGTGATGCTGAAAGTGTCTCTAGGAGAACGCATGGAAGCGGTGCGTACTCTCGATGTACCGGGAAAGGGCTATATATATAAAGCTAGGTACATCTGCTTGTTTGCTCCTTCAGGAAGGCCCTCTCTTATTCCGGCTAGGGTGCCCAGGGATACCTGAAAAACAGATCAATGGATCTAACGTATGCCCTGGTAAGATAAATAAACTTAAAACTTGAGGGTGGTGATGTCCGTGTCTCTGTTTCCTCTGCTGTGTTGTAGGTCAGCGGCAGCAGGGACCAGCAACCCCTGGACAACCTGGTCATCGACCTGTAGGACAGTAAACTGCTGACGTCACATGGTCACCGCAATGTCGTCACAGGTCTGCTAAGCAGACGTCATCCTACCCCCCAAGGAGTAAAGGCATAGGAAGTTATACATTAGTAAATGTACATTAGCCAATGAAGTAAACCAGTAAAATACCAGACTCTTATGTTACTGAAATTTTAACCTAGAACAGCTTTATCACCGATATATGCCTGTACTTAAAGCCTACATGTACAATAAAGGTATTTCATTCATACATTAGGAGAGACAATGTATCTCCTGAAGAATAAGTGTGTGCAACATCTTCTTCTGAAACAGGACACTTCTTGAGGCAATGTCTGTATCTGCCTATATCTGTATAGCCGGTATAACGAGAATAAGCTTAGCGAGAGATCAACCATAATCATTGTAAAATAAGGGGTTGATTGGATATATCTGATTAATATACAAAATTAACTCTAATGTATGAAAGATTTGCCATGCTTAGATAATAATATTCTATGATCAATATATAACGTTATATAAGAGAAATGGAAGAATGGCACTCAATAAAGAAAATAGAAACACCCCGACAACAAAATGGTTCGACCCTCTCCGCGAGCGCCAATCACGTCCAACGTTACATCAAGGAACTTTAAATTCGAATTTTGGGCGCCATTGCACTTGCAGACGAGACAGAAGTGGGACGTTTCGTCAGAACTAAGGTAAGAATTTTCCCGTTTTTGCCATATTTTATCCAAGTTTCATTTTCCATACTTCATGTGCATCGTTGCCAGAATGTCCTCTTTTGGTAGAGTCACTTTTAGCTTCCGTAACTAGTGAAAAATTGAGAAAATTTGCACCGACCCTGCCTAGTTGTTTCGCCGTGATAGCAGGTTCATGGTCCCCCGTTGAAAACACTAGGCACTACCCGGTCGAATTCCAGTCGTCAAATGTTCCAAAATTGTTTATTTTTCCTCAAGTTTACCTCAGAATTTTTAGACAAGATGTTCTAGAATGCAGTAGTGTCAGTTTTAGCAATTTTAATCCGTGAAAAATTGAGAAAACTGTGCACCGGCCCGGCTTAGTTGGGCCGGCGGGTTAGCAGGTGCATGGTCCCGTAGGTAACGCTAGGCATTACCCGGTCGGATTCCGGTCGTCAAAAGTTCCAGAAAACTGTTTTTTCCTCAGGCTTACCTCAGAATTTCTAGACAAGATTCCCTAGAATGCAGTAGTGTCAATTTTAGCAATTTTAATCCGTGAAAATTTGAGAAAATTGTGCGTGCACCGGCCCTGTGTAGTTGTTTCGGCGGGATAGCAGGTGCACGGTCCCGAAGGTAAAGCTAGGCACTACCCGGTCGAATTCCAGTCGTCAAAAGGTGGACAAAACAAATGGAACGCCCCGCTCGGGTTCTTCCTTGCAGTGGTAGTAGAATTCGAGCAAAAATAATCATCTTCTCTCACATATTTTACTATAAATTGTCACTAAAATCCCCCTGCTCCTAGCAGTGTGACGATTAGCTTTATTTGTGGTGATTTTTGAAATAATTTTGGCAGAATCATTCGTTTTAAAGTTCCTGACACTTGTTGCTCGCTTCTAGTCCCAGCTCAGCAGCGCCGACTGGCTCAGCAGCACTGAACTGCAGAACATGGCTGCCAGAAGAGCCATATTCCAAGTAAGTTCTTGTCCTTTTCTAACATTTTGTAGCATTTATTGATGTTCATCATGAATTAAATTTCTTCTGCACCCATTACACTTCACTTTAAGACACTTTGATAACCGCAGATTGTTTTAAGTGATGTTCTTGGTATCATTACTATGACAGCTGTGTTATGTTTTTGGTGCTAATATGTTTTTCTTTTTACAGACAGAACATGGATGAGGTGTGGTGTTGGTTCCTGGCTGATGGAGAAGAGCTCTCCTGACACCTGCCAGCAGGTATTGTGATATTTCTTGTGTTCTTCAAGTACTGTTTGCTTCATGTGTCCTTCACAGGAGATTAAGATTGAGAGAGAGAGAGAGAGAGAGAGAGAGAGAGAGAGAGAGAGAGAGAGAGAGAGAGAGAGAGA